TAACACCAATTATTTGCAGTTATTTGATAACTGATAACTATTTGAAGTTCATTTTATGTACAATTTTTCTCCAATCCTTGTGTGGCTAACAAACTATCTGTCAATAAAGGGTATAGATATATAAACTCCAATTTTAAAGTCTTCTAAATTTTTGTCTATTTTTGTTTTTTGATTTTTTAGTCTGCTCTTAAAAAAGTTTCAGCTCTTTGGCGTTTTTCTAAACCAATTTCAAAAAGTTGTGAAATTGATATAAGCTTATGCATATGGGTTTGATAAAAAGTCAAAAATGTGCTAACTCATGCCTCTTTTTTCACAAACCTTTTTGTCCCGACTTTCGAAGACGGTTTTTTATTCAGACCAATTTTTAAAAGAGAGTTTTCTCTTGAGAGTTTGATTCTGAGGTTCTTTGTAGTTCACGCCGAACTCCCTCACCACTAAAATAAATTGATACGATTCGATCAAAAATGCTGAATTATACTTTGATGCAAAATTGTTCCAAATTGAATTGAAGCTAGCTGATTGGTCTTAACAATTCCATACAAGACTTAAATTTCAATAATTCAAATTCAATATCATCAGCCTAAAAATCATGTTTTGTCTAGTTTCACTAACCAAAAACTATTTGAGACCAGTTATTGGGCAGTCGGAACAATCAGGGTATTAACACGATATACAAGCAGTTTACTGGAAAGACAACAGAACAACCCAAAGTTTCCTTTCTTCCGATTAAATTATATCGATATAAAAAAAGCTTTGACTCTAAGCAAACACAAGACTGCTCGCATCAGGGCAAAGCCCCTAATGATCTAACTGCCTTTTAAGATTTATGTAATATTACTTTAAAAAAATAAGTGTAATAAAACAAAATGAATTTTTTTTTCTAAAAATTTAAATTTTTACATAAATATCCCCCACACGCCATATTAAGAACAAAAGAATAGATTTCGCTCCTTATAACAAATCCAATATGGCAAATAAGCTTCTTTCAACAAATTTGGAACGATTTCTAAGACGGATTAACTCTCCGCTTACGCGTTAATAGCGCGAAATATATCGCGCGTTATTTGTCCCAAATTGGCCAAAATGGCAATCTTTAAACACCCATAACTTTACGAAAAATGATCACAGGTGAAATAATTTTCCAAATTTAAGCTTAGAACAACAATAGCTTTCGAATGATGTTAAATCAATTTCGTCAAATGTGGCTGGTTAAAAAGTCGAAATTTGCCCGAAAGAAAACCCCACCCCGAGCACAAATATTTCGTTATTTTCTTTACTAAAGTCGGAACAATAACGCTTTCAAGTTGAAGATTTTAAAAAAATCAACTTTCTCAACATCAAGACTGCAACGTTTTAACAATTTATGATACAAAATAAAGTTAAGGAAAAATTATTGCGTTGAATAAAATTAATTATTACTTAATAAAGTTAAGTAAAAACTAAAGATAGGTAAAAATTAGCAAATAAGATTGTGCGTTTTCTTACTGAAATTTTGGCCTTGATATTTAATTTTAGTTGTCCGTTATTTATGTGGCGTTCCTTGTCACTTGATACTTGCTTAAAAATTAACCTTGTTGACACATTAGAACGCCAAAAGGTAACAATATTTGATATGTTTAATGAATTCGATGTTTTAAACTCTTCTCTACCAAGTTGTAGTGACATTCGTTTTCTATTTCAAACGAGCAATTGAATGTCAATTTCGAATTGAATTTACGTTTTTCACCATTCTCAATTGGAGCGTAAATGATTCAATTTTACGGATAAACTATTATTTTTGGGCCCTTTTTTCAGTGTTTACTTAACAAAAAAAGAATTTACTATCTCGGTGATTGGGTGCTTTCGGGTTTTTCCAAAGATCAGCGAATAAGAACTCAACGCCTGAATGCTCAATTTCTCAAGTTTATGCAGATAAGACGATCATTGTAATTCTTTGAAATTTTAGGTTTATTAGAAGTGAATAAAACTTAAAACTATCAGCTGTATGGTGAAGTGCAGTCAGGGTACCCTCACGAGTTGCAAGTATGGCCTTCAAGTTTGACTGCTCAAACCTTTCTGAAATTTAAAAGAAGTTTAGTCCAAAAAGTTTAATCCGATTTTTAAATTCTTGACTCTAAGGAGGGTTTACATCAAAGTACTTCCTGGAAATACAGATTTCGCCAGAAATCATGGTTTCTCAATGGATTTTAAGTGTAGAATACAAACGTTTTTTTTTATAGCCAACAGAATTTATACATTTTCAAAATTATGGAATTATGTTTAAATTTTTGAACATTGAAAGATGACCCCAGTCTTTTTACGGCGTCAATAAATACATTTTATTTCTATTTATTTTGAGAAGATTTTTTTCTATGTTAAATATTCTGGTTGGAGCATCGCAGGCGCGAGTCTTGCGAAAGTATTGATTAATAGTATAATGGCACCTTTAAAGATTTTAATAGTGCTTTGTGTTAAAGTATAACCAATGATGTAAATAAGAATAAAACATCTCTCTAAATGAGTTTTAATATTGTATAATAAGTATTAGATATGCTTCAACTGGCGCGACCGAAACGTTCTTTGTTTCAATCAAGTTTGATTGAAACTTATATGTTTCCACCAAGTTCGACCCAGCAATTTTCATTTCAACCATTTTGACAACGGTTGGATATGTTTCCACCAAACTTGACCAAGTTGATAATTTTTCCACCAACCTCGTTCGCGCAAGTTCCAGTTCCAAAGTTTTGATCGAAGTTCAATAAGCTTGATTAAGTTTGATCTAAGTGGTTCATCTTTTGAGCAAGTTCAATCAATGACCATCGGCCCATTTTACGACAAAATTCTTCACCGACTTGGACATGTTCAACAGAGCGGGGATGAAAATACATACATTCGTACATACATACATACAAACACACACACACACATACATACATACATACATACATACATACATACATACATACATGCATACATACATACATACATACATACATACATACATACATACATACATACATACATACATACATACATACATAGGTACATACACACATACATACACACATGCTTACAAACTAACGAAAAAGACATACAAACAAATATACATTTTTTTGTCTTATTTTAGCTCCAGGGAAAGTAAAATGTGTATTTGTCATTTAGTTGAATTTTTTTCTGATTTAATTGTTTTATAGCTCTCAGTTTTTCTGCTAACGATTGTTTGTCGTTGCCTCATAAAATTTGCTGAAATTTTTCTTAGGACCCCGTGTTGGTCATCAAATATGTTGGTCTAGCTAACTGCACTTTAGAAACAAATTATACTGCAGATTTTAAAAATATATATATGCATCAGTTAGAGTTTGCAACCAACAAATCAACAATTTTTAAATCTCAAATTTCAATTTTTTTTTTTTGAATTTGAGTTCGTCTTGCAAGCAAAAAATCCGATACCCCTTAAATGAAATCAAAACACCTTTAACTTTAAAATAAACGCTTGCTGTTTATCATATGATGTTTTTTTTTAGTTGATGATTATTTTTAATTTTTTGGCGACTAATTTTTCTCGATCATGTCGCTATTAATTTTTTGACCACGCTTCGACAAATTTTTCCAACATGCCGCGACTTATTTTTATACCATGCGGAGACTGAAATTTTGAGCTTCGCAACCGAGATACGCTACTTCCAGACTCTGTCCGTGACTAATTTTTCGACCGCCGCGACCGAGTTACGGTATTTCCAGAGTTTGTTTGCGACTTAAAACCCTGTCCAGATTATGAATTTTTGGTCGCCGAATTAACACTAACTCGACCGACAAAGACGAAAAAGTATTCGCAGACCTCGACCCGGGTAGGATCTCTGTAATTATATACCTAATACCCCCCTCTAGCTTATGGTAATTAGTAACGAAGTTCCCCCTCTATAAAAAACTAAATTAAGCACATGTGAATTTTTTTATAGTAACGAGTCTCCCCGTTGTTGCAATACGGGATAGTTAAAAAGACCGATAATTTTTTCGACCACAATCACTTCGAATTTAGCTATTGAACAACAAATTTCAAAACAAAGCTTGAGTGATACTAAAAAGACAATTGATACCATTTACTCCAGCATGATCTCTTGTTTTGTTCCGAGAGTTTTGTAATAGTTTTGCAACCCATTTTAAGAAACATAAAGTACATAAACACATGTACTTAAACTTAGAATTTAAATTCACAAATTTCTCATTTTTACAAAAAATCTGCAAATCTGCAGACTTGTTTTTTTTTACCAGGGCAGTAGATTTCTGTAGAATTGCTCAAAATGGTCAATTTGGCTTCATGCTTTTTTGAGTTGTTAACGAATTTCTGAATTTGAAACCTGTGATGGGGCTAGAATCTTTCTAAACTTTGTTTTGTTTTATTGATCTACTCTACTCGCTTTCACTGATTCGGAAGATATTTAACGGTTTTTTTAGGAACTTCTTATTTCACTTATCCAGCAAAAATATTCTGGTTCCAAGAATTCGTTTAGCAAAAAAGGTGCCTAATTTCGCGATTATTTTTTTTGTTTTTATCTTTTTCATTTCCTATTTAATTAAAGCAACCTATATAGATGACGATTGTTTTATGAAGGCGATAGTGATACAAAACTCGTAACCTTGAAATCTAATTTGAATCAATTATCTTTTTTTTGAGTTGCCTTCAATGTTGCAGTGACATGATTATAGTTTTTCCAAAATAAAAATTTACTAAATCGATAAATGCAAATAGTCAAGTTTTGCTCAAATTTGATGTGAGCAAGCAACAGATAATTATTTTCCTTATTTTTGGCGCAAACCATTAGGGACGGTAAAAGTTGTCATAAAACATTCAAGGAAACGGAATTTTAACAGTCAGATAGAAATGAGAAAATGAAAAACCGTGACCAAATTAATAGTTTTTGCCATTTTTTTCTCCTTCTTTCACGACAATGAACTGATGAAAACAATGTAAGCTTTAGATTTTTCAGACATTTGTTCAATTAAATAAGCTTCACGCCACGTGTAATTATAATAGTTGGTAAACCTAGTTAGCTAACCATCGTTTACGTAATAAACTTGCGGTTTGTGGTTTTATACTTCTATAAATACCAACCGACCTTTTAAAATTATCAGTTTAGAAGTTTAAGAAATCTTTTATTATCTATCAAACTCTGTCAAAGTTTATACCAAAAAAATATAAGCTTCACACTCTTGTCAAAAGTTTTTACATACTACCTTAGAGCGTCAATCAAACTAATCTCGAACAAACATCTTTTCGGACTTGAAATAAACGACGTTAAGAAACATGTTTCGTCTTTTGCGCGATACCAATTTACCCTTAATCATGCTTGTCCTCGTGTCTTATCTCTGTGTCGGAGTCAGATGTCAAATTGGCATGCAACCTGGCTTCGGCAACGAGGCGTTCGGTAACCCGAACTTCGGACAGCAGGGCGCCGGGGGTTGGGGAGCACAGGAACAGCAATGGGGAGGGGGACATCCTTCGCAACAACAACAGGTATAGTTGAAGCTCAAAAATTTTAGTGGATTAAATTTTTTGATTATCTTGCGTTTAATTGAAATAGTTTTTTTTGCACTGATTTATTTTGTTCCTAATGCTCAACAAAAAAAGTTTGATTTGCATATCAAAAAGCAGGGGTTGAAATATGAGGGGGGGGGGGGGGGTAATTTATTGAGGGGCCGAGAAGCGTGTTAATTTGGTTAGAAAAAAGAGTTTATCAAATCATTCGGTTATCGCTAATTTTGGGGAGAGGAAAGTGTTTAACTTGTTCAACTCAGGTAACTTTGACCTTCTATAAAAATAGACAATTAAATGCGTTTAATCAAAATTTTTTTCTTTCACTAAATTTGAATGCAGCATTGTACGATCAAGTTACAACATATAATTCATATAGTACTTTGAAAGTGTTTAGAAACTGAAAAAAAAAATGTTTCTTTTTCAGGGCGGCGAACAAGAGGGCGGCAAACAGCCAGGTGGTGGCTACTTCATGGGTGGGGGAGCCTCACAGTACTTCCCAGGGGGGATGCCAGGACAGCAACAGGGAATGCAGGGTATGCCAGGCGGGGGTCCAATTCCCACTCTGCAGGGACCACCTCAGACTATGTTTCAACAGGTGAGGTCTGAAGTCACAAGCAAAGCATATAAAAATTATCAAACTTAAGAAAAACATTTATCTTTAATAACAAGTTACTAAATTCCCTCTTATCTCAGTGCCTAATTTACTCTAATTTTTTTTACTGAAGCTAATGTTTCTCAACACAGAATTATTATTTTCTTACAATCACGGGCTTTAATATACAAAATTTACCCCCCCCCCCCACCGCCATAAACAATCTTCGAAGGAATAAAAAGAGGCCAATGAAAACGCAAGCTATTTCAAATTTCTGACCCGCACTCATGCACTGAGAAAGATCGATTAAAATATTAAAATCAAACTTACAAAAAAAATTTAATAAAATACAAAAATAAATTAAATCGATTTCAATTTAAATCGAAGTCAATTTAAATTGGTCTGATATAAAAGGTGAAATTCAAAATTAATCAAGGGAATATAAATTAATCTGAATCCATCTTTCTGTCTTTTTGTAGCTTTTCTGTTTTTTAAAGAATTTTTATCTGATTGAATCCAAATTGTTTTAGATATGTTCAACCTTATTTTCATCCGACCTTAATTTTTTCGACCGCAGTCGAAATGACTAATTTGAAATTAAAATGTGCAAGATAGCCTTTCAACTGAAATTATTAGCTGAATTTTAAATAAGTGTGATTTTTTTGAAGCAAAATTGAAAGTTTCGACTTGAATGTTTCAAAAATTTTGTAAACGCGCTTTATCAAATTCCGCCTAAAAAGTTTATCTTGAAATGATTTTTGAAAAAATTTGGTTTTGTTTTTAGTTTTTATAATGGCGAGAACCTTTAAATTCCAGACTTTTAAAGTAGTTGTACTACACTCAAATTTTGACGAATATTTTTGTACACAAAATATTGCTCGAATTTTGGAGAAAAATCAACATATAAATACCAAAATATCTCAGACTATAAAACTATAAACAGAATTAAATAAATATTAGCGAAACTTGGCGATATTTTTTTTGTAATTACCCAAATTCATTCTAGTAGTAATTACCAAAATTCATTCTGAGAATCTTAGTTTTGTCAATGCGAGTTTGGTACACAAAAAATTAAATTACACAAATTAAAATTGTTTTTACGCAGGGGCTGAGCGTGATTTAGTGTCAAAGAATGAAGAAAATACACTTCTGTAAATGTGTGCTATATTGTCGTTTTTTTCTGCAGCCCAAATTTTGTTGAAACCGTTCAGCCCAATCAGATCTTTTTTCTGTCTGACTTTTTATTTATTGTATTCAAAATCATTTGCCTATTGGAAACAAAACTGCTGATATTAGGGAAAAATCCTGAATGTTTTGACTGCTTTTTCAATTTTATGGAGTAGCTTATATCAAAATGATTCTTGAATTTTTGAAAAAAAAACAGGAAAAATTCCCAAGAATTAAAAAAAAATTAAATCGAAAATCATCACCGCATACCCTACGTAGGGTACAAAATGATATATATTTTGTATAAAGCAAAGTATTAAATAAAGCAAAAAACAACCCTCGATCCAATTTAGAAAGATTTCGCTTGTGCGTAACAGCACGAAATACATCGCACGCTAATTGTCCCAAATTGCTGAAAATGGCAATCTTTAAACAACCTTAAGAGAAAAGATCACAGTTAAGATTTCCGTCAAAAGATGCCTGTTAAAAATCAAAAATGGTCTGGAGAAAATAAACACAACCTAAGCAAACCTATTCAGCTATTTTTGTCGAAAATCGGAACAACAAAAAACGTTTTGAAAGTCGATTTTTTTCTTTTGAAACCATATTTTTGTCTATTTGTTGTTTGAACTCATCCTGATGCTAACAAAAAAATTGAAAGCTTACCAGTTTCTATCCGATGTAGATGTTGCGTTTTGCCGCTATTTATTAGCACAAAAAGTTAAAGACAGAGAAGAGAGTTTCCGGCAATTTTTCTTCAAAACACTTGCAAAATTTTAGATAAAAAACAAAAAATATTCTCTCTGATAACACAAGAGCAAAAGTTTTCGAGTTTTTTCTTTTGGAATGACTTTTTATTTTCTAGGAAATTTCAACGGACTACTAAAATAATTTAGTGACCCAATGGGTTGGATGAGAAAAAAGTATCAATCAAAAAAGTTTCTTCAACTAAAAAGAATGCTTTAGTTGTCACAACTTACTTTTTACACTCAACAGTTACACTCGAAGCTAGAAAAAATGGAGTATAATGCCAGTTGGAATTTTAGCATCAAACTTGCTAATACTGACATGCTAACTTATTCAGCTTATACTGACATGCTAACTTATTGTTGCGGAATCCACAAAATTAATTCACAAATTACACAGTTTGGCATCGTAAATGAATAAGACTTTTTCATTGTTTTGAAAGAAGTGTTAAACTGATCACACCATTATGCATGTGCACAATTTATAAAAGTACATAGGAAGTCTTGCTTTCATTTCAAAACAATAAAAAACACTGATTGGTTTTTCTATAACTACTTGCGCAATCGAAAGAGATTAGCGAGGTCCACCGTTATTTCGCTCGTTGCTTGAGAAAAAAAAACATCATTGTCCAGCCCGAAAATATCCAAAATTAAATTTAGTTCTTACGTAGGGGATCAACATTGGTTATACAGAGGAGAGCTGGACAACTCACGTGTTGGATATTTTCCTTGTATATTAACGATTGTGTTAAACTTAAAAATATCTCTTCTGTTTGTGGTGTAGGTGCAGAGTATGTATCAACAGAGACTGGCGGCGGGACAGTGCATGGACAACCCCATGTTCGGAGACCAGTGTGAGATGTACTCTGGCATGGGATACTGCACCCCCGCCTACTCACAGGCCAACTCTCTCAACCCCCAGGTAGACGACCCTGATTGCTTCTATTCGACCGACTTTAATCGACCGGAGGAGCCTTCGTTTGACGGTCTCAATTTTTGAAACGAAACTCGTTCAGCTACTTCGGTCGAATCATGAGTCGAGGATCCCATCCCGTGCAGATCGCCTACAAAAAAAACAAATGAAATTAATAGTAGTGAATATTGCAAAAACATATTCAAGTCATAACACAAAAAATTTTTGCTGCATTCACAGAATTGACTCCTTGATCATCGATCGAAGGCTATTGACCGAAAATATTTTTTTTTCAGACTAGAAAACATACGCTCGCTAAAGGTGGTCATTTTCATCATTTTGAAGCGACCCCAAAAAAGCGACCGTAACTTATGAATTAGGAATTTTGGTTCTAAACGTTTTTTTTTTCTGAACACTTCGGCATGCATTAAATTAATATTATGCAATGAATTATTGAAATGGCATCATCACTTTTTTAATGTTGGCATGCGACTAAATTGCTCACTTGTTTAACTTTTTGTAGAACCAAGTGCACAATTTTTGCATAAATCATCGCTTGTGTTTTATCTTTGCCAGGTGCAGCAACAACTGCAGTGGATCTACGAGAACTGTCCTGAGAGTTGTGGGCTGTGCATGGAGGCAGAAGTATGAACAAAATATTCACTCTCGACACTGTTCACGGATGAGTCATCTCATAAGCGAACAGTGCCACTAAAAAGAAAAAAGAGTGAGAGATTTTAAAAAGAGAGCATTAACAAAACTGACGAAAAAGAACTGAAACAATTTTTAATTGTGGTGGTCATGGATACAATAATTGTTGGTGTCGATTGTGGCTAACTTTATGGAAAATATTTGCCTGATTGTACGTTTCCAATGTGAGATTGATTTCATAAAAAAAACAATTTTTGAAATTTAACGGTTTGATTAAAAAATGTTTCTTTGTCAATCTCAAGTTTTGTAGAATTGAGAAGTCTTGCTTGCGCCAAGATCGAGATTCTCCTTGATTTATCCAAAGTAGCATCGATATCTCGACGGGACAACTAGTAGCGAATTAGGTGTAAGACAACCTCTGAAGACAATCATAGTATTTGGTAAGATCTTGGCCAGATAACTTATTGGCTCAAGCTAGCGTAGAAAGCCTGTTCTCACTTTTTTCCTAGAAGGTCTTGCCAAGATAGCCAGGATAAGTATGTCCTGGAAAATTTGACAAGATCTTGCAAAGTAGAACCAGTTCAAAACAAGTACTCATTATATCCTTTTATATTCTTGATAACTCTTCTAAGCTGTTATACTTCTTCCATGAAAAAATTGATTGTATCTTTTTTTAGACTCTTGGTGTTTAACTTCATAAAAATGTCACCAGTAAATGTGTTTGGCGACTCAGAATATCACAAATTTTTTTGACTGGGCAGTTACTTTTAAAGCGCTTGTCATCAAAAGCCTCTCATCATAAAAGCAAACAAGCCGACCATTTTAGTGTCGGAGGAAGCCAGTATGCTTATCAAATTGCTTTTTAAGGCGAGAAGTTTTGTCAGATTTTTTTTAGTTTGCTAATCATTATAAAATTACAAAGCAATAACGTATTTCTACGATACTCTTTTATTGAGTCATAACGAAAACAAACAATTTTATGCTCTAAGAAACTCCCTCCTTTCTTTGCAAGGCGAAACTAAACACAGCGGCTCCTGTCAAAGCTTTTTAAACAAAAAGTAAAATTTTGGGCCACGTGGTTTTAAAAAACGGTATTTCAGCAACAATAGTCTCATAAATTGCTGGCATAAAAAAGTGGAGACTCTCGAATTTAAAACAAAAGTACTGAGAGTTTTGGTTGGGATTCTAGAGTAGGATGTGATTCTTTAGTACCTAAGAAATTAAATTACACGCAGTATGAAAATGTCTATATAATTTATCATAAACGAAAAACACTTTTCAAAAAATACAATGTCATAAAAAACTTTTAGAAAAAAGAAAATAGATTTTGCCATGATTTGGCTGAAACAGTTCCCAATATTAAATTAATATTTCCTTTTTCTGTATACTCTTCGAAGCTAGGAACAGGAATTTTGAATTCCTGCCCTTCTAGATGGAGAGAGATTTATAACTGCGAAATCAAGTATGGCGTTACAACTGCTCTTCAAAATTATGAAGTCTTTGTCTAAGGTTCAACGTTTTCAATCAACCTAATTTGTGACCCCAGACCAGTACTATTCTTTTAGTCTTTAATAGGGCAACTTGCACAGAGACTCTTTAAACATCAAACTATACTAATCAAACTTTAAAAACCTAAGTTTAATTACACGGTTGGTTCGAATTCAGCCTTTCAAAATCTTCAATCTCAGAATGTTCTCATAGTTGATACTTAAAAAAATAAATGTGAATTACATGCTAAATTAAAGGAAATACAAATCATTTTGGACACAATAGATCAAATGAACTATTCAAAAATTTGGAAAAAAAAGATAACAACCATTTTTTCCAATCGTTGCCCAAATACATGGTGAAAAATTAAAAGTCAAGGTATGAGCAAAATTAGAATAGAAAAAACTAGAAACTTCCATACAATTCATCTTTTTCACAAAATTCCAATCAGACCTATGAGCAAAGGGATAAATTTTTGACTTATGGTTCTGGAAGCGTTATGCCGACCATTTCAAAAGAAAGACTCAATCTCGTCTGAAAAGAATTGGGCATTCCTTATAGTGTTTTCTTGATATTAGAAGTGCTGTTATGAGCAAGGAATTGTACAATCACCCACTCAATTGAAATTAGCTCTAAATTCTAGAATTGCACATCTACCTTGGAATTACGTTGAGATCTAACACAAGCATTTCAGTCAATACTTCAGGAGTTTTTTTAAACGCTTCGGTTTCTTTGGACAAAACTGACAAAGTTCTTTGGACAAAAATTTTAGGAGTTTTTCAAGAGCTTTGGTTTCTAACAAGAAATTTGCGTTTGCTCAAAACATCGCCGTTAATTTTAGCTCTTCCTATACAACGAACAAAATAGTAATTGTAAAAGAACCACAAAATCTGTTGAGTCTTTAGCTAGGACTTTGCAGCTTAAGTTAGAGAAAATGCATATCAAAAAATTGCGCTGGTCTCTCATCTCATAATCATAAAAAAGAGCAAAGTCAAAATTGGCTGTAAAAAATTATTCGAAAAATTGATCTAAACTACTTTTGAAATCCCAAAAAATCCTCAATTTATGATCAGGCATAAATTCCGTAATATAGAAACTTACAGATGTCAATTATTAAAATAAAAATGATGCAACCGAAAAAATAAAAAATGCATCGCAATCATATATTATATATTTTTCAAAAGGAAAATTAATTTCAAATTTCGTAAAAAGGTCATTGTCAGTGAGTTTTCATTTGATCTAAAGTCCGATGACTTTTAAAATCATTTTAAAAAGCAAAAACTGTACAGTTTTAATTAAAAACACTATTTGAAATTTTAAACAAGTGAAATTGGCCCCTCTTCCTAATGGACATCAACCCATGTCTTGTGCAAAATCTTCCAGCAAGAGACTTTAAAAAAGTTGATCATGATAAAAAAATCTGGGACAGTAAGCTATGCATTTAAGAGCGTTTTTCGACTCAATTTCAATTGTTCCCAACATATGGTATCTAACCGGTTCCACGCAATATATTAGAGGTGTAATGAATGAACTAAACGAGTTACATAGTTCGAAAAGCCGGAGAAGTATAAAAAAGGGACTTAATGTTCACCGACCCATAAAAACTCCTCATCATTTCGATACTTAAAACAAACTTCTCAACCTAAAACCTAGACCCCAATACAAAAATAATTTCTCCACTCAACCATTAGGATATACATTTTGATCAATCACGTCACAATTAAAAATTTAAAATAAAAAAAAAGTTTCAAACTCCTTTTATATCCTTTATAAACTTTTGTACTAAATGAAAATTCAAAAAAATTGTTTTTATTTTAGTCCAGCCAAATTTATTTGCATCACTCCAAATCCCCTCAAAGCGATTTAGTTAAAAGTTTTTTTGCTACATAACTTATAGTTTCGTGAGCACACAAAATCTCGTGGTTTTTTTATCCACCATTTCTTTTCGACGGCTTGCTTTTTCTGCGACTTTTAGAACTGACTCGAAATGCCACCATTCCATTGTTATTCGTTAGCAATTCAAGTCTTTCTTATACCTTTTCCTTAAAAATTTTTTAAAATTAAATTACGCTGGTTTTATAACGAGTTTCAAAGTTTCAACGAGGAAATAAAAAAAATTGTTTTTTGGTAATCATTTTGAACAAAACAAAACTTACATCCTCACACAGAATTTTTAAGCAATCAAATTCATCGAATCAAAAAAGAACTCAACAAAACCCTCCCAGCAGCTCATCGGGATAATAACTTGCTTTTCCATGCGGCGCTTTTTCACTTAGGCAACTCAGTACACCGCTTCACGCAACAACAGAACCTCAAATAAGTACTTGGAGCTGTCATTTAAACAAAACTCCAGCAAGAAGCTTTAAAATTTTCATGACATAAAAAGTTTCTTCTCTCTTCATTACTAAAAGTTTCGTTGTTTCAGCACTATTTTGACCCGAATAAATTCATTGGGACAAATTAAGAAGTTCTCTTAGTGAAGTCATATTAGTGAAGCCATATTTTTAACAATGGTTAATTGAATACGACTCTTTCTAATTATTTTCTTACGAAACGATTGAAGCAGTTGGTTGTCGAATCAACATATGGCTATGCTCTTTTTCTTAGTTAACTCGTATTACCCGTACCCAGCAAAGACTATTTTTCTAGATAGAAAAGTTATATAGATTACTTAACCAATTTTTTTGTATTTTCCAAACAGATCTATTTGTTAGTTAAGAAATAAACAATTTCTGAAAAGAAATAACCAGAAATCAGTTCACTGCTCAACTGCAACGAGATACACCTGCTTCGAGTATAAACAATAGCCGTAGCAATACAATGCAAGTTGACACTTGTTATAACAAGTGTTGCTTTGAATTAGATTGCTCAAACTTTCTTTGATTATTAGCAGGGAATGTGGCCTAGCGGTTAGCATCGAAGTAGCCTGCCCGGAGTCCGAGACCCAACCGAAGACTTTTTTTCTAGCAAGAAATAGCCCAGATTTAAATAACTTCTAATCAGAAATGAGATGAGAAATATAGAATATTTAAGAAAATCTCTGCTTTACTTAAACATTTCACAAAGAATATCTGACCAGAAATTTAGATTGGAGACAGAGTATTCCAGGTCAGAAATAATTTTTTTTTCGGTACGGATATTGAAGTCAGATTTTTAACAAGGATTAATTGAGTATGACTCTTTTATCACCAAGCTTTTCAAACAGTTGGTTGTCGAAACATCATATGGCTAAATTTTGCAATAAACACGCTTCTAACCAGAAATTTTTCACACCGAAGTATTTAATTGCTGATCTGAAACAATCAAGAGCCTCTCGAGGAGAAATGATAAACTTTTAAACTTAAGATAGTTTAAAACGACAACTTTTTTTTTCTTTGAGCAAACTGTTGAAATAGTTGATTTTAGAAACAACATTAGGCTAAATATTAAATCAAACACGCTTGTCACCAAAAATTCCACTCGCCTAAGTAACTATTTGCTGATCTTATACAATGTAGGTCCTCCTTTAGACACGTGCCTGTAAAAAAATACGGACCCTTAAAACTGTCGAATTTAATTCATGCTCCCTTTCTCTTTATAAATTGCTTCAAAATAGTGTTTTCCGTGTCAGTTTGGTACCGGCACATGTCTGCTGATAAACCCGCAAACACCAAACTATAATATATATGCTCCAGAAGCGTTCTTAACTGCGAGTTTACAGACTCCTACTCCAAATTCCAAGACTGAGCAAAATCAGAAAAATTACAACAATGATCTGAATTGCATCAATCAGTTAG